ATCTCTCTCTCTCTCTCTCTCTCTCTCTCTCTCTCTCTCTCTCTCTCTCTCTCTCTCGGTTAGTCTGCACAGAATGCTTCGTACAGAGGTGGCAAATGATTCAGTGTAAGAGCCCCCAAAATATGGTAGCATTTCCCCTCCTGATGTGCCGCCCAACTCTGTCTTCAGGGCCTGACCTGGAGCTGCTTGGCTCAGGGTGGGACAGGGACTCGCCCCCAGTCTCACAGCCTCTCACAGCCAGGCCTGTCCTCCTTTGTATGGGGCTCCGCAGCTGGCCCTGGGAATTCCCCAGACCCTGTCAGCCTCTCAGGTGTGCTTCTGGCCATGACACGACTGAGTGAAGCTTGGCATTATTGTCCCCTCCTTCCCCCCATGGTGACAGAGACAAGCAAGGGCAGGGCTGGCTGGGTTGGGCTGACACTACACCTCCGTCCAGCATCTGTGGGAGAGTAGGGACGGGAGGTCACGAAGGAGGAAATCCTACTTGCAATAATGGGCCTCTGAGAAACACCCTAGGGAGGTTGAGCTTAGAACAAAGAGCAGCACAAGACTGGTGTCACTGGCTGGTTGTAGACCTGGAACCACTGGCTTTGCTTCTGAACCTCAGGTCCTCATTTGCCAAGTGAGGGCAGTGACCCAGCCCACTCTTCAGTGGCCTTGGCCTGTGGCCAGTGGGTAGCTCAGGTGGCATCTTCCTTGCAGGCATCTGCCAAGGCGAGAGGAGCCTTGGGTGGAGTTGGGCAGCCCTGGGTGTGAGCTGCTTCTCTGTGCTGGGACCAGTCTTGATCTGGGACGCATTCTTCGCTGTCCTGTCCTGTCCTGTCTTCTCATCGCAGTGGGATTTCTGTGCTGTAGTAACGGGCAGTGTTGTTTAGAGGTAAGGGCCACTTCAAACTTGGGCCAGGTGACCCTTAACTCTAACGATGAGTTTTGTTCTCTCGGTACCTTCAGTACTGTTTCAGGATTATTTTTAACCTCCTCACCATGGCACTTAATCTTTTCTGGGTCACAGGCCCCTCGGTGAGTCTTGAGAAAGCTGTGGTCTCACTTGCCAGAAAATTGTGTGTGTGCATGTGTGGGTCTCCCCTTCTGGTGTTTAGAGCTTTACACCCACAACTTCCACACACACTGTACACTCCCCTTGCACACCATACACTATACATAGTCTCAGGGTAAGAACAAGAACTTCCGCTCTGTAGCCTGGGGCGGGGATGGAGGCCTAGAGTCACAGGGGCTCAGTTAAAAACAAAGCCCAAGATGTCTGTCCCCCTTCCCTGATGTCACAGATTACAAATTCATTTCGTTACCTCTGCATGGAAATTTTTGCAAAAAGAAAAAATGTGTTTTCAAGGCCACCACAGAGCCCTGTTCTGAATAAGACATAGGGGAGCTAGGCTGTGTGTGTTGGAGGAAGTCATTTTTCCTCATGCACCTCTGGCCAAAGCCCCCACCAAGTCAGTAAGCTGGTTTCCTGCCTTTGCCGCGCTCTGGTCAGAATAGGTTCAAGGTCAGCTCCAAACCCCTTGAGCAGTGCTCTTCTTCCCACTGCTATATTTGTGTTCGAGAAGAGATGATTGAGGGAAGCAGCTCCGCTGAGAGGTAAGCACTCTTGCTGCTCTCGCCAGCCCACCCAGCTCCCAGCTTCCCCTGTAGCTACCAGTCCACTCCTGTCCCTACGGAGTGAGCCTGGCCCGGGGGTGGGGGTGTGGGGGTGGAGCACACTGGGCTACGGCAGGCCTCAGAGACAGGAATGCCCAGGGTTCCTTTCCCCGGGCTGGGAGGAGCTTGCTGCAAGAACCGCCGGGTAAGACATGGCTCCACATACGTGTTTGCCTTCCGCATTGCTTCTGGATGCTGGCAGGCCAGGCCTCTCTGCTGCCTGTGCCTCACGAAGGTGAGTTTGGGGTGCCTGGGCAGCCAGCTGGAAAAGCAGAGCCTTGGTGTCCCCTCTGTGAAACAGCACAGCCTGCTTTGCTCTCTGTGTCCCTGAGAGGTTATGGCTTAGTAAGGACTTGAAGAGGTGCCTGCGGTCCACCCCTTTGGATGGATTCTTTGGCCCTGGGGCGCGTGATGGGGCTGGTGGGGCCTGCTTCTCTCTGGTCCTGTGTTTAGGGCTGTCTGTGCGATTGACTCCCTCCAGCTTGGGGCTCTTCCTCTCTGCGCTCGGCTTTCACCCGCCCTCCTGACATCAGGGTCTCATCCAGCGTCCTTTGCTTTCTCAGTGGTCGTCACCCACAAAGTCCTGCGGAAGGCCAGAGGAAACCTGGAGGTAACGCCATTTTGAGTTTCTTTGTGTGAAAGGCCCCTGGTGGGTAGGTGGGTGCGGGTCCAGAAGTGGCTTTCTTTGAACCCTGAAGTTGAAGGTGGAGCCACTGGACATGTCTGCCGCATGCACTTGTATTTTTCGGCCAGCAGAGAATGGAAAGTTTCATTGTTTAAAATTAATTTTATTGGTACACGTTTAATATGTGTAACGATCACATTCACAGGAATTTGTACCTGTACATAATGTATCTTGATTCTTCTTTTTACCCCATTCCCCTCCCCTCCGTACAACCTTCTTCCCCTTCTTGTTCACAAAAGCTTTGTTTCCGTTTTTTTCCTTCTATTAACTTTTTTTTTTATTCCTTTTCCTTTCCTTCCCTCCCCCCTTCATTTTATCATGCCTAAGTGGCTATTCTGAATTTTAGATTTGTTTCTTTACTAGTGAGAAGCACAGCAATCAGTAGTTAACACGTAGTAGGCATTTGTTAAAAGTTTCCTGGAGGCAGTGAACACAGTATGATATTGTTGTTTTGTCCTGTACACATTTACTCATCAGACTGTCTTTGAAAACAGTTTCATAATAACATCTGGCCTTTAACTGTTGAGGAATCTCACTTCAGAAACCCTCCACTGACCTAAAATTCTTTCTTTCCCTAGCTTAGGCCCGGGGGGGCCCACCCGGGCCCAGCCAGTCCCAGCAGACCCGGCTCCTGAGGACAACTGCCAGCCAATAAAGCCAGTAAAGCTTGTGGTACCAGATCACACTGTGTCTGTTTCCCGTGTGGCTCTTCTTGGTGGAGGAAGAAAGGGCTGCCTGGCCCTAGGAAATCTGCCCTTCTCTCAGTGTTTTGACCCAAGTTAGCTTAAGGGTGGCCATTCCAAAGGTTCAGGGGCTCTGAGAAGAGGGGTTAGGGAGGCCTTGCACTTGGGGATGCTGTGCTGGGTCTGATCTGGGCAGGAATCCGGGGCTGCGGCTGTGCCTGTTGGTGGCTTCACAGGCTGCCCTGAGTTTGCCTGTCCTGGCCAGGGCTGCGATTTGAAGCTCTTCCTTAAATGACTCATTTCATTTCAACGTGTTTTGGGGATTGTGAGGAACCTGAGCCCAAACTCTCATCCAGGACAGGCCAGGGTCTCAGGAGCCCCATGGCGCTTGGGTCTTGCCCAGATCTCACTGCTCAGCCCAATCTGGGGTGTTCGGGTGTCCTTCACCTGCCTGCGCCTGGTGGTCTTGCGGAGCGGTGCTCTGAGGTGACCCTGTTCCTCTTTAGGAAGGAGCTGTGTGAGCCTGGAGCTGGGACTTAGCCTTCGCACTGTCCCAGTGGGGCTGGTACCTTGTCCTCAACTGTCTGCACTGCTGCTGGTGCTCTCGCTGCAGCCCTGTATTGGCCTTCAAGCCTGGTTATCCTTAACCTACGCTGCAAGCTTCACAGTGTCCCTGAGAAATAAACAAAGCAGTCTCAGGTCTGCTCCCAGCTATGTGACACCCCTGAGAGGCAGTGCAGACTGGGACGCCATACCACCCGGCCTTGCTCTTACTGCCTCACAGGTGTCAGAGAGCCGGTCCCGGTCAGCAGATGGTCCTTGGTTGCGGAGCCCACAGAACTCTGACTCAGTCTCCCTCTCTGTCCCCATTCCTGCCATTATTCTGGGGACTTGAGCATCTGTTTGGATAACCCCTCGGTTTGTTTTCCCTCTAAAGTCCCGTGAGCTCATATGCCGTCTCTGGCCACAGCCTACCAGCCTACTTGCTGCCTCACACCGTTTTTGTTGCTCAGAGATTCTCATCTCTGCCCTCTACCCTTTCTTCTGTCACTAGGCACCTTTCTTGTCTTCGATTTCTGGGGTTTGCTCTCCATGCTCTGCTGTCAGTCCTGCAGCAGCCGAAGTGCTGAGAAAACTCCTGCACCTGCTCAGGGTGTGACCGCACCCTCCCTGTGATGGCATCCTCCACTCTCCGGTCCACGTGCGAGCCTCTGCCAGGGTGTGCAGGGCCCTGGGTCTGGCCCCTCTGGCTCCTGTCGCATCTTGCTTCCTTGCACTCTAGCTGGCCCAAGGTAAACTGACTTTTCCCCAGCTCACACAGGGCCTTGCCGTCCTTTGCAGTGTTGGCCAGAATGCTCCCTCTCAGGAATGCTCCCCCTGCCTTTCCATTTTCTAGCTGGTTTGGAGTAGTCCTTCAGAAGTGTTCCCCCTTTGAGGGCTGGATAACGTGCTCTGTCATCCCATGCCTGCCACTCCCTGTGTGTTTGTCCTCCCAACGTCCTGGAAAACGTGTATATACTGAGTGCAACCCCAGCATTCAGTACACAGAGCTGAGCACATGGGACCAGGCTCTGGGGCAGACTTCATCACAGGAGGTGCTGCCTTCACATTTGCTGAGAGATTCCTCAGTCCAGAGGACTCACAGGCAACATCCCTGTCATCACTTCACTGGAGCTCAGAGCCCCAGGAGGCTTGTGGAGGTGGTCAGGGGGTCTCTCTGTGCAGCAAGGCCAAGGCCTTAGCTTGAGTGGTGAGCTGGGCCTCCATCCTTCCTGTCCTGCACTCTGGAGTGGCCGACTGCAGCTGCCAGACCTGATGGTGATCCGAAGTGAAGTGATGGGCACATCCCAGACACCCTGATCCCCGCCTCCCTCCATTCAGTGAGGGGCTGGGCAGGTGTCAGGAGGACCCTTCCGGCTTGGCTTCCTGTCGCCTCTTTTCTTCTTGAGCAGCTGCGCCTCGTTTTCATACTTGCCCACATGTGAAAACTCAGCTCCAGGTGTCATGTCATGAACAGTCCCCTTTTTCAGAAGTCACGCCGTGGACTTCCTGAGAGGAAACTTAGTCTGTGAGGAGTGCAGGAGGTCCAGATTCCAGTCCTGGCTCATGTTTCTGTCCTCAGTCTCCACATCTGGCAAATGGGAGTCACCCTTCTGCCTGATCCTGGTGACAGTCGTGAGTTTTAACATTTGGGAGGAGCGGAGTAAGACTTGCCAAAAACCGGTGACTCATTGTCACCGTCTCTCTGTGGCTTGTCACGAGCATGTTTTTGTAGTGCTTCTTGGAGTTCCTGGATCAGATGTACACAAATGTGTGTGCACGTGCGTGTGTGTGTGTGTGTGTGTGTGTGTGTGTGTGGGCTATTCACAAAATGATTAGCTCTTCAGCTAGGCTTAAAGTCACACCTAGGTTCAGATGTACCCACAGGGGAGCAGTACTGCCTTGCTTTGTATGTGATTAGTACGCAGCATGTGGGAGCTGAACTGGGTCATTGCCAATGGCATGAGGGGTGAGGGAGGGGCCCCCAGTCCATCCCGGGCAGTCTGGTTGCTAAGCCTGAGCCTGTCTGGGAGCAGGACCTCTGGGGCTCAGCTGGCCATTCCCTTCAGGTCAGCCACAGCTTTCCAGGAACACAGTAATCCAAATCCTTTAAAAACATTCCCAGCCTTGGTCTAGTGAAGGCCCTCCTGCTTCTGGGAGGTGGAGGAGCAGCCTATTTTGTTGGGTCTGGCTCAGAGCCAAGAACAAACTGCAAATAAGGACAATTTGGAAAACGCTCCATTGTCCCTGGTGAGTTAATTTTACCAGCAGCTGAATTCAGGAGGCTCTGAAGCAGTAATCAGAAAATACGTCAATTTCCCATTGGTGAAATTAATCACCACGTGTGCCTGAGCAGCCACACCTGAGAGAAGCAGCGGCACACAGAGAG